CCTGCTGACGGTGCCCGAGGAGTACATGGAGAGCTTCCTCCAGGCCCTGGGTGCCCAGCTCACCAGCTACGGGGTGAGCACACAGGGGATGCTTTGGGGGGGGATTGTGGAGCTGTGGGCCCCCAAAACTCATGTGGCATCTACAGAGCATGGTACTGTGGGTATGTCAGGGAAGGATGAGGCAACATGGCACTGCCAAGGGATAAAGTGTTACCCCCACATATGGGGGCATCTCTGACAGTGGGTGCTGTCCTGGCCGTAACCTCCTCTTCACCCTCTCTCTGCAGTATGCAGTTGACTGCAATGAGGTCCAGAACATGCCCACAATCACCTTTGTCATCAACGGAGCTCAGCTCCCACTGAACCCCTCTGCCTACATCTTGAACGTATGTATTAGCGTAGCAGCTCCATCCTGCCGAGTCCGTAAGGGCCAGGACAGGAGCTGGTGCTTCCCTGCATCCCACCCAGCAGGGTCCTGCTGCTTGTCTGAGGCCCTAACTCCAGTTATTCCTCTCTTACAGGACAACGGCTACTGCACTGTGGGGGTCGAGGTCACCTACGTGCCTTCCCAGAACGGGCAGCCACTCTGGATCCTGGGGGATGTCTTCCTCAAGGAGTATTACACCGTCTTCGACATGGAGAAAAACCTCATCGGCTTTGCCCCATCGCTGTAGAGGAGCAGAGCTGCAAAATCCAACCCCATTCCCGGCCAACACACCTCAGCCAGCATTCCCAGAGCACTGCGGGGTTCCTATGGACCTTGGCGCTCCTTTCTGTGCCCGCACAGCTCCCTGTCCCTCTTGGATTTCTGTGTTCCCACAGTCTCCTGTTACAAATAAACCTCAACATCCCCAATCATCTCCCGCTTTTGTCCTTGTACTCAATGAGGGGCAAGCCCAGAATTAGAGTCCTGAGCCTGATTCCTGCAGGGCTTCGCTTTGCAGGTGAGAAGCACCACTGCAGCGGATCAGGGCACCAAAACATCAGTGGGGTTGGTCTCAGACACCAACCATAGCCCCGGGGATGGGGATTCCTTATAAAGCCAGTTCTGCTTTGTGCTACTGGGCACTGGTGTGTGTCTGGAAAGGCCATGGAGGTCCCTAACCTTCATCCTCCTCCAGCCACTGCTTGCTGCAGCGAGGCTGATGCTCCCCAGCTCCTGCCCAGGCAAATACAGACTAAGCTGGTGGCGGTGGACGTTGCTTTGCCTGCTGTTTGTGGTGACCTTGGTGATGCTGTCCTGTCTGGTGGGTCCCCACCTCCATCCCTCTTGCTGGCATTGGGGAAACCTCGTCAGAGGTGCGTGTGGGCAGGCACTGATCTTCCTTGTAGCTGGGTAAGGTCCTGTGATTAAGGCAAAGTGGGAATATGAGACCAGTTTAGGTTCGCCATGACATCCAATGACCCCTAAACCCTAAGTGGGGCTATTCAGGTAAAGCAATAGCCAGAGTATCAGGAATGGTCTGTGGCTGAAGGGGACGGGGAGCACCTTGGCCAGGGAGGGCTCGAGTAACACCAGTCTTTCCTGGGATCCAGCCTCCTTTCTGGGAAGCTCTTTACCGCTGGAGCTCATTATCAGATGTATTAATAGCTCTGTCATTTCACCAGAGAAAGGACATAAACTCCTCCGTGCTTTGTGTCAAAATATTGACACAGCCTGAGCATGGAAAGACAGGGATGGGATGTGTGGATCTGGGATGTGGGAGTTTCTCCCTCTGAAGCTGGGGGGTTCTGAGCTGAAGCTGCTCTGGCAACAGCAGTGGCACGAAGGTACAGAAGAAGGTTGACTATGTTCCTGGTGGTCTTTGCTCTTCCCTTTGCTCCCTGCAGGATCCATCCAAGCAAAGGCAGATCTATTAGGATGCGATGGAGGAGGAAGGGGTGCAGGGGGGTTTCCTGAGCTGCTGCAGGCTCGAAGCACTGGTCCGACCCCAAAGTGTGGATGGAAGCAGCGTGGCTCTCCTGGGGTCCATCCCTGCTGCTAGCAGGGACTGGGGAGTCTGCAGGAGCCCTGCATCGCAGGGCAGCGGGGCGGCTCCTGCCTACCCGGAACACCAGCATCATGAATTTCCACTTACCACAAAGGGTGTGTTTTGCCTTTGTTTTCTGGAACGAACAAGCTGGTGCTTGAAGGCAAGAGAAAATACTTTAACTTCTTGATAACAGAGTAATTTTGCTTTTTATCAGATGTCACATATTTGATCTCGATATCAGAGGCACTGGACGATTAGTGACTGAATAGCTGGGTAAAGAAGGGAAATGAGGGCGGCTGCAGTGACAAACACTGCGAGCACTGGTGTGGGTGGGTACAGCGATAGGGGAAAGGGGTGTCTCGAGCAGGGACTGGGCACGGCTCCTGGTTATATACACCCTGTCCTGGCCGAGGTGGTGCAGGAGCTGCCATGGAGCCACTGGCACCCAGGGCCATGAGGTGGCTGGTGCTGGCGCTGCTCTGCCTCCAGCTTGGGCAGGGGACGGTGAGGTGAGCCCAGGGTGGGTGCCAGGGTGCAGGGTCTGGTCTCATGTGGATGGATCCACTCAGCATCTCGCTGTCATCTCCATCCCGCACAGGATCCCCCTGAGGAAAGGCAGGTCCATTCAGGAGGTGATGAGGGACAAGGGGGTGCCGGAGGGTTTCCTGAAGGATCTCAGAGGGGACCCTGGTAGGAAATACCAGCTCAGTAACGCTGTGGCTTATGAACCGCTAGCGAACTACCTGGATGTGAGTATTGAAGCTTCTCCTTCCCCCTCTGAGCCACATGGCGCTGGTGTTCGGGAATGTCCTCCTCCTTTCCCGGCTGCTGCAGGAAGATCCAGCTCAGCTCCCTCCTGAGTCGAGGGGTTGCGCTGGGTGTAGGCAGGAGTTCTGCTGTCTCTGTAGCCTGGCTCTGAAGGCTGGGTGATGTCGGGACACAAGCAGGAGGCAGCCCATCTCATCCTGAATTGGTTTCCCTTCTCAGAAGAAGCAGATCTTGATGGTCATAGAAGATCTGCTACTCCCAGCCTTGCTGCAGTCTTTGTATTGCAGGCAAATCACTGCCTCTTTCTGTGCTTCAGCTGCCCCGGATGCACTCAAGGACCATGAACCCTTCCAGACTCGGAGCAGTTTGGGTTTCTCAGCTAGCAGAAGGCAGAGAGCTGAAAACTCTCATTCAAAAGACCAGGCAGCAACAGAAATCCACAAACTCTCTTGTTCACAGACCTACTACTTCGGGGAGATCAGCATCGGGACCCCTCCGCAGCATTTCCTGGTGCTTTTTGACACCGGCTCTGCCAACCTTTGGGTGCCCTCCACCTACTGCCAGACCCCAGCCTGTGGTGAGTGTCTTTTGGGATACAGCAGTGCCAGGGCCAGGCATCCCCTGCATGTAGTGGACTGGAGCTATGACGGGGAATTCAGTGAGAGCCGATGGGGTTTGGGGTTTGTTCTCTGCCCAGTACCACTGGTGGGGCTGGATTTGGATGGCCCTTTCTCAATGAAGCCCTTGCTGGGGACTGGGATGCTGGTCTGAGGGCAGGATGTGACGTGGGGGCTTCTCTCCATGCAGTGGATCATGCCAGGTTCAACAGCAGCCTGTCAACCACCTTCTCGGGCATCAACGAGACCTACACCCTGAGCTATGGGTTTGGTGACCTGTCGGTGGTGTTGGGGTATGACACTGTGACAGTAAGTGACTTGTACGTGTGCATCCCGGGTAAGACGTGGCTGCGGTTGTGACCCATCTCATTTGGTTAAAAAATGTAGGGGGCAGCTGAAAGTACCGAACTTCTTGGTTTGATGCCTGAATATTAGTGAATATTAGTGCCTGAATCTCTCATTTTTTGGCATAAATTTACTCAGAGACTGGGATCTACAAACCAGCTCAGCCTGAGCCACTGGGCTTTTCGTCACTGCTTGGAGTTAATGGATATCTTTGGCCATAGGTGTTTGCGTTTTACACCAATGGCTGAGCTTTGTCATTACAGGACATAAGAAATGAGACCTGCATGAGTGAAAATGTGATTTTAAACTAATTTAACCAAGTCAAACAATTTTGGGGGGTATTTTTACAGAATAATAAGGGTGATGGGACAAAGACTATGAGGCATCTCCCAGCATCTTTCCTCTCCCTTTAGATCCAGGACATTGTCATCAGTAACCAGGAGTTTGGCCTGAGCCTGGATGAACCCACCAGACCCTTTTACTACCAGGACTTTGATGGGATTTTGGGCATGGCTTACTCAGGTGTTGGCATCCCAGGTTACAACACGCTGATGCAGAACATGCTGCAGCAGAGCCAGCTCACTGAGCCCATCTTCAGCTTCTACTACTCACGGTGAGACCTCTGACCACAGGTCTCTCTCTTCCATAGGCACAGCCTGGATCTGTCCTTTCCCTATTCCCTCTCCATCCACATGTTTCCCCCTCCTTTGCGCTACACAGCTTTCTCCTGAGCATCCTGCCTGAACTTTGGGGTTAATTTTGTGTCTTTCCAGCAACCCAACCTATAGTTATGGTGGGGAAGTCATACTCGGAGGGGTTGACCCCCAGCTGTACTCCGGGGAGGTTTTATGGGCTCCTGTGGTCCAGAAACCGTACTGGAAGATCGATATTGAGGAGTAAGTGCTGTACCATGGCTCAGAGTGGGTCTTGGAGTAAGGGGAGCCTTTTCTGATGCCTTTGCTGCTGCTCTCTCCAGGTTCTCCATCGGGCTGTCAGCCACCGGCTGGTGCAGCCAAGGCTGTCACGGCATTGTGGACACAGGGACGTTTCTGCTGACCGTGCCAGGACAATTCCTGTCAGCATTCCTGCAGGCACTGGGTGCGGAGGCGAGCAACTATGGGGTATGTGGGAAAGATGCCATTCACCTTCCTGAGGGGCTGATGAATGCCATGGGATGAGGAAGCTTTTGTTGGCAATGCTGAGCTGTGGAGGGCTCCCAGCATCTCTGCCCCTCTTTGCTTCTTTTGCAGTTCGTTGTCAACTGCAGCGATGTCCCGAGCCTGCCCACCCTCTACTTTGCCATCAGTGGATCCCAGTTACCGCTGCCTCCCTCTGTCTATGTCTTAAACGTATGTGTGATTCATATCATTCCCAATATGTGTTTGCCATCATGGGGCAGTTCTGCCCAGGAGAAAGTCAGAGTTTATTGTCAAAGGCAGAGGCACCCAGCAGCCCGAGTCCTGTATTTCCCAGCACCCGGTTTCACAGTGCTTTTGTATCCCTGTACGTGACTGTAAGGAGGGTTTAATCCCAGCCAAAGCAGCCACGAAGGCCTGGGCAGCATCACCCCCCGCCCCAGACCTCACTAGTACTGAAATTTGCTCCTTTTCCCCCCTACAGAATGATGGTTTCTGCACTGTTGGGGTTGAGAGCACGTACGTTCCCTCTGACAGTGGGCAGCCACTCTGGATCCTTGGCAACCTCTTCCTCCGGCAGTATTACTCCATCTTTGACATGGGCAACAACAGGGTTGGCTTTGCCCTGTCAGCTTAGGGATGCTGAGCATCACCTGGGGGCTATTTGCCCCTGCAACACCTTGTCCTCCCTTGGACCCGCGTGTGGTGATGAGTAGTCTCCAAATCTCCTGTACTGAATAAAGAGCTGCAAATGTAACTGCCTTGTGTCTCAGCTGAGCAGGATCTGGCATAGCTCTTAGTAAAACAAAGTCTGAGATGATGCTTGCTGTTTCCAGGCACTGCCTGGGCTTCCAGATGTGAAAGGAGCCTTTGAATATGCAGCAATGACCAGTTTGGGATCACCTTTTTGGTTGGGAACCAGGTCCCTCAAGGGACTGGCTGGGAAAGCAGGATGACTGGAAGAGATTCAGGCTGCACCATATGCTGAGCCACAGCTTGGGGACCCCAGGGCTGAGCCAACACGGTCGCTGGAGGCTTCAGGAACCAGTTCAGAGCAGGATGTGCAGAGACAAGGAACTGCGTGTGAACAGCTCCCGAGTCATTAGGTTTGGGGCAATTGCCCACACATATTTGCAAATAAATTAGGGATTGGGAAGAGCCGGGCTGAGGAAAACGCCCTGGTTTTGTTATTGAGGGGTAGCTCTCTTCATCGCTGCGGCTGCAAAGGATGGGCAATGAGAAGGAAGGAGTGGCATGTCTAGGACTGAATGTGACCAAAGCTTGGGGTGTCTGGATCCCCCCCAAGAGGAGCTGCTGGACGCAGTGTCAGGTTGGGCCAGACCCAAGAAGCTGGTCCTCAAGGTCTGGCATGGGAGATGCATCACCAAAGGGCTCCATCACCCATTGTCCAACACCCATCTCCCAGTCAGATGACAGTCACCCTGCTGGTGCCTGTGACCACCCATTAAACTGGCTCTTTGCAGCCAAATCTGCCACAGAGGGTCGAGAGCAAAATGCCATCCTGCTGCCATGGGGAGCCCGGTGGCAGGGTCACCCTTTGCCCTGGGTGCAGTGGGTGCTGCGGCCTCGGCTGGGCAGGGAGTCCTCACCTGATCCCATGTCCATGCTATGGGA